TAATGGTCCCCACCCTGAGAAACTAGGAATAGAAGGAAATGCCTCAACATGTCAAACCTACAGCAGTGTGTTACCAAATTTTGAGATACTGAAAGTAGGAACAAGACAAGAGGGTTGACTTTCCCCACTCTTATTCAGTATAGCACAGTTCAGGTCTTACCTAGAGCAAGAGAAGGAAGATATCAACTGTCTTTCTTTGCAAATGACATGACTCTAAATAGTGAAACCCAAACTCTGAGATTCCATTAAACATTTGGAGCAATGTAGCAGGATTCACAATACAAGGAAAACAAGCTTATCTCTACTATAAATGAAGACACTTAGAAATCAGGAAAGCAAACCTACTCATGATAGCCTTAAAACAAAACAAAAAACTTAGGTTACCTAGGAATATACATACATACATACATACATACATACATAAACACACACACACACACACACACACACACACACACACACACACACGGAAATGAAATACCTGCACAATAAAAACTGAACAGTGAGCCAGGTGGCTTTAATCCTAGCTCTCAGGAGACAGGCAGATCTCTGAATTTAAGGCTAGTCTGGTCTACAGTATTAGTTACAGCACAGCGAGGATTACATAGAGAAACCCTGTCTCAAAAAACAAACAAACAAAAATAAAAACAAACTGAAAAGTAAAGAAAGACATTAAAGGTGACAGTAAAAGATTAAAAGACTGGCATAATTAATATTGTAAAGATAATTATTACACCAAAAGCAATCCTGCAGATTTCATGTAGTTTCCATCAAAATTCTAGTGACATTCCTCATGTAAACAGAACAATTCCCAAATTCGTATGGGACCACAAAAGACTGAATAGTCAAAATAACCCTGAGCTAGAAGAGTAGTGCTGGAAGTATCACAATACTTGATTTAAAGGTACACTCTAGAGTTATAGTGACAAAACCAGTGCAGGGTTGCACAAAGCATATCTGGGGACCAGTGGACCAGAAGAGAAGGCCCCAAACAGAACCGCTGGCAGCCACCAGTTCTGTCAAAGATGCTAACAGCAAAGGAAACTTACATGTTAGGAAAGATAGCTTCTAGACGAATTGTGTGGAAAACAGGGTGCTTACAAGAAGATTGAAATTCGATCTGTACCTTTCCCTGCATACAAAAATCAACTCACAGTAGATCAAAGACCTTGATGTAAGAAAGCAGACTTCCAAACTTCTAGGGATAGTGTGGGGAAAAACAGTTCCAAATGTAAGAATGGGCAGGGCTTTTCTGTAAAGGAAAAGGGAGCTCATGTAGTAACAGCAAGAGTTGAGAGGTGGGACTGGACAAAATTCCAAAGCTCACAGCAAAGGAAGCAGTCTGCAGGATGAAAAGACTGCTACCAGCAGGAGGGAACTGCTAGAGATGTGGCGCGGAGAGGTTAGTACTTGGCATCGGTGAAGAATTAAAAAGTTTACTCCTAACTAGTCCAGTTCAGAAGTGGAAAATGAATTAAGCTGTTCTGAAAGAATTACTGTGGCTGGCCAGTAAACATAAAGATAGAAAAAGTTCTTTGCAGCCATGTAAATGCAAATCTCATCAAAAGCTGCTTTGTTGAAATACTATTATTATGAAAATAAATGCTGGAGGAAATAGAGTAGAAGGCAGGGATTTATTATGTTGTTGATGTTTCATTATATTTTACTAATGTATTTTGATGGTATTTCTTTTTATATAGTTACTATAGAAAATAATTGAAAATGGTACTTAGTGAGCTGACATACCCACTGTGCTCTCCTCTGTTGTTGTAACTTTGTGTATATACTCTGCATATATCCATGTTCACATTCCTCATGCACACAAGACAAGGCAGGAAAAGTCAGTGGAGAGAAAGGCCAGGTAATACTTATTCTTAGTTTTTAGAATATAACAGCAACAACCACAAACTAAAATGAACAAAAGATATTGAGAAAGAAAATAGGGAACCACATGGAGAGTGTGGATCACATTCTACCTAAGATGGCCGCTATCCCATCTTAAAAAGAAGTTAAAAGTGACATGTCTAGAAAACCAAGAAAAAGAAACATAAAGAGACAAAAGCAAAGACACCTTGATGTTTTAAAATTTCTCTTGTGTGAATATGAAGTCATGTTTGGGTGCATTCCTCTGGAGTTCCATTAAATTTTTTAGAGTCATTTGAATGTTGTGTCCAGCATTTTGAAAATCAAAATGTGAATTTTAAAAAACATACACAAATGGGGTATACGGTAGACTAGATTTTGAGCAATGAATTTCTTAAATTATTTTCTGAAATAAAGTTCATAACTGTGACCTAGTTCTTGGTTGTAAGGAGTAAATTTGATTTTTTTTCTCTAAGATATAATTATGAATTTAAAAAATGCTGAAAAGTACAATTGGCCTTGATTGGATCAAATGTTTAGCCTATAATATATGCTTTTAACGGAAAGCCAATCTAGTGGTTTTAAATGGCTTCCTTACTGAGTGTGTCACAATGCCTCCAATAGCCAGGGCTTGCAAAACAGACATCACTGGCTGCCAGCACCATCTGGAATAACTCTCAGATACAAGGTGAATGGAATTTATGCACATAGTATATAAAAATATAAGAATAATTTTAAAAATAAGTTTGATTCATGAAAACAGACTTGTTCTTCATGTCTTTGGCTTTTTTTAAATCTTAAGTCCTAATAAGTTTTGTTTTGTTTTCTTCTTCTATTAGTTGATAGAATACTACATTTTGGAAATATTAAAATTATGAAGTTGGAAAATTAAATGTAAATGTTATTTTTATTTCCTTTGATATTATTTTTATTGTGTTGTCTATAGCGGAAACCTGTAAATACTTCATGTGACAAAGTGAAGTTCTGTTACTACCTTCCCAGTGGTGTAGATTCTATCACAGGATAAATGTTTATTTTGTTGTCAATGTCATTAATTCACCATTTCCTCTTGACTCCCTTTTCCTCAGCAAACACTAACTACTCACAGTTCTGTGGAGGGGTGGGTTCCTGTGAGCTTGTCACCTACCCAGGATGGCATGCTGATGGGCCTACTTTTACTTTTTTATTTTTTTAATTTTTTTGAAACAGAGTCTCTATAAGATGTCCTTGCTGCCCTTGAACTCACTGTAGGCAGGCAGGCTCTGAATTGTGATCCTCCCAGCCCAGCCTGGGACTGCAGGCCTGCACAGCTCTTTCTTGAAGGATATATTGGTTTGTTGTTTTTGTCTGGGTTTACTTTTAAGACAGAGTCATACTATATGGTATAAACTGACCTGAAATTCACTATATAATCCAGGTTGGTTTCAAACTTGTGATTCCTTCTTCTTTTACAGCTTCTGGGGTGCTGGAATTTCAGGTGTGTGCCACCACATCTGGCATTGATTTCAAGGTTTTGAAGAACTACCATGCAATTATCATAATGGTTATTTCACTGTATCAGGATTCATTTTTGTTCACATCCTTGCCAACACTTGCTGTCTGTTTCTTTTTTATTATAGCTATTATAAGAGATGATACATTGCTAGGCATTGGTGATAAATGGCTCTAATCCCAGCACTTAGGAGGCAGAGGCAGGCAGATCTCTGTGAGTTCAAGGCCAGCCTAGTCTGTAGAGTGAGTTCCAGGACAGCCAGAGCTACACAGAGAAACCCTGTCTCAAAACACAGAGATAGACAGACAGACAGAGAGGATACGTTTTTGTTATTTTATAGGTTTGATTTGCATTTCCTTGTAATGTTGAATGTTTTTGTATATAGTTATTTCTTTGTCTGTTGAACACTTTGTCCACATAAAAGTTGGTATTTTGCATTTTGTTGTTTTGTCTTTTGCTCGTCTATCACTGCCAAACTCCACCTTCTTTGAAATGGATCTTTTTGTGTCTTATTTGGACTGGTCTTGTAACCTTGGGCTTATGTGACTCTTAGACTTCAGACTCCGTGTAGCTGGGACTGTGTGCTGTTGTCCAGCATCCTTCCCTATTCTTATTTTTTTCTTGTTAGTGAAATGACTTTTTTTTTTTCTTAAATTTGTATATTAGCTTCAGGTTTATTTTCTGATTTGCAAGTAGTTTCTGCCATTTTTGTCTGTAGGATTCTCTTTAGTCTGTTGTTTGCCATGTACCTTTTATTTACTTATTTTTTTTAGTTTGATAAAATCTTTTTGCTTTGTTGTGAGTACTTTTAGCACAAAAATGAATTACTTATTGTGAAAGAATTCTTTTCTTTATGTTATGTTCTGGTAGTTTGACAGTTTTCAACTCTTTTAAGTCTTTAATATGTTTTGTTTATCTTTTTGTATATGAATGACATGAAAATATGGGTCCAGACCATTGTTCTTCATGTAGATTCAGTTTTCCATCATTGTTCATTAAGAAACTAGTCTTTCCTCACTGTGTGTTTTGGTATCTTTCTCAAAATTAATTGATTCTAAATGCAAGGACTTCTTTGCATGCCATCTATTCTGTTTTAAGGATGGCTATTTCTGCTTATATACTATGAGCATCTTAATATTTTGGTTACTGTAAATTTGCAATACAGTTTGAAATCGGAAAGCACGGATTTTAAATTCTATGAATATAAAAGTAACATAAAGCATTAAAGAAATAGCTCACAGTTTGGGAGAAAATATTTAGACAATGTGTAAGAGATCTGCCATTAAGAACAAAATGTCCTAAACAATGATAGTGGTAGAAACAGGAAAGGCCAGAGACCATATTCAAAGAGGTCCAACACTTCTGTGTTTCAGGTATGAGGCTTGAATTGGTTATCTTTTTATACCTTCCTCTGCCTTTCTTTTATTCTGCAATTTCTTTGTATGCACTAAGATACCTTTCCATTAGAAAACTGCAGCATTATTGCATCTAGTTTGTTACCTCTATTGGTACATGGGGGGTGGGGGGAGATGGAATTGTTGAACAGAATTTGCTCTCCAGATACTCTTAGTTGGGTAAGGCATATAAGTAGACGTATACTTCCTGTGCATGTATGCAAGGATTGTCTTCCTTTTTCCATCTACAGGCAAGTCAAAGACCAGAATAAGAAGGTAGCAAATCTGAAGCACAAGGAGCAGGTGGAGAAGAAGAAGAGTGCACAGATGCTAGAGGAGGCCCGGAGAAGGGAGGACAGTCTCAGCGACAGTTCCCAGCAACTGCAGGTCAGAGCTCCCATCTGAAGGAGCGCATGCCACGATCTGATCCTGCCTTGTCTGCTGTTTGCTCTTCCTCTGTGTCCTCCTCTTCCTTCTCTTTCTAACCCTGCTTGCTGCCTTCCTCTTAGACACCCTGTTTAGCAAAAAAAAAAAAAAAAAAAAAAAAAAGAAAGAAAGGCTTTTAAATAGGAAAGGCAAGTTTTATTCAACAGCTATGTAAGGATGTCTCAGCATAGGAGGAGTCCTCTTGCTTCAAGTTGATCACACTTAATTGGTAAGTTCAATGCCAGTTTGATGAGTATGTTACAATAAAGCTTCAGAATTGTCAGTACAGCTGTTTGCCAGTCCCATTCAGTAAAGGGTGTTGGTAATTTGTGTGTGTGTGTGTGTGTGTGTGTGTGTGTGTGTGGATCCATCTTCTTTTTTCTCCCTCTGTATTTTCCTCCAATTTTTCTTTTGAACTTTTAATATTATTATTATATAACAAGATGGTGATGATGATAATAGTAATAGTTATCATTTTATGTGTATAGGTCTTTTGCCTGAATGTATGTGCACTACTTTTGTGTGTCTGGTGTGGAGCCTTCAGAGGGTGTCAAATCTCCTGATACTGGGGTTACATATAGCTGTGAGCCACCACAGGTATGCTGGTAATTGAAAAGCGCAATTTGGAAGAGCTGCCAGTTTCCTTAATTTCTTTTCTTCTCTCTCTCTCTCTCTCTCTCTCTCTCTCTCTCTCTCTCTCTCTCTCTCTCTCTCTCTCTCTCTCTTTTTCCAAGATAGGGTCTAACATCCCTGGCTGTCCTGGAACTCACTTTGTCGACCAGACTGGCCTTGAATTCACTGAGATCTGCCTGCCTCTTTCTCCCTGAGTGCTGGGATTAAAGGTGTGTGCCACCACTGCCAGATGTTGCCAGATTTCTTAATCACTGAGCTGTCTCTCCAGTCCCTTCTTTTTATATTTTTAAAGGCATACATGAACTATTTATTTATTTATTTTTATGGTTTATTTTATTTTTTTTTTAATGTGTGGGTATTTTTCATGCACGGCTATCTGTGCACAACATTTGCACCTGGTTCCTATGGAGATCAGAAGAGGGCACCAGAGTCTATGCAACTGGAATTACAGATGGTTGTGAGACACCATGGGGTTGCTGAGAACCAAATTCGGCTCCTCTGGAAGAACAACAAGAGCCCAGTTATTTACATTAATTAAACCAGGCCCCATCACAATAGTAGCAGCTCTAGTGTTATAAGTGCAGTTAGCTTCTTAGTATTTATGTTGGGCCCAAAACAGTTGGGGAATTCGTTGCAGAAGTGCTAAAGTACTGTGGTGCCCAGCTTCCTAACTGGCTCGGCAGTGGTTTAATGCTGTGTCTCCTATGTCTGTATGCTGGCCCCGTTTCTCATGGCCATACTACTTTAGAAAGAAGGTTAGGTATTAGAGTATGCCAAGCGTTTACGGAACCATCACAACCCCTTGAAGGCAGCGACACTGCTGTCACCTTGCTTTTCTGTGCTGTCAGCTGTCCTGCGGTGTGGCGCAGTGCTCATTTCACAGTTCAGAACCACAGAGTAGTGACTGTAGAGATGTGGGGAGTCACTGTCTGAAGCTGTTTTAGGATTTATAGTAGCTTCAATGTAGACGTAAGAACTTTTCTGGTGAGTATCTTTTTTTTCTTTCCTCTTTAATACATCTTTTACTGCTTACAGCCTGTTGTTTTCCTTCATCTATCTATGTCATTGCAAGGAAAAAGTAGAAACAAAAGCAAGGGTACCCAGGGCTTAGTAGAGCAGAAATAAAAGTAGACAAGCCCAGAGGAAAGGAGTCTTGAGAAGGAAAAGACAGTGTTTCTATTAGAGAAAAACAGACCTGTAGATATCATGCAGAAACACCAGACATTAAGACCAAGCCTGTCTTGTACCTCAAACCTCCTGCCCAAGCAGGGTGACTCCTTTTTGTCTCCAGCTGTTGTAGCTGCCAGTTGGCAGCAGCTTGCCTAGTACATGGCAGTTTATTCTTTTGGTTCCCTTGGATCTGTCCTTTCCAAAGACTCAGCTCTAGGCTCAGTGAGTCTAACCATTTAAAAGTAGCTGCTCCCATTGATACCTGAATGCCTGGCAGTGTTGGGAGCACATGACTGGGAAAACCCTGAAGTTCCCATATAAGACATTGTGTCAAAATTAAAAGAACAACAACAACAGCAAAAAACCCACCATGGAGGCCTGGTGTTCTCAAAAAGAAGGACTCATTGGCACTGGGAAATTTTATAGCTGCCATCATTTTAATTATGGCATGTTTATGGCACGCTAACCAACATGCCAGTGAATTCATGTAGGCTTTGCCATGTTCATGATGCCACATACCAAGATGGTGCCATATCATGTGACTGTTTACATCTTGATAACATTATTAACCAAGATGGTGGCTACATCATATGGTTACATTCATCTTATGAGTTCATCATCCAACCTCCTGGTTGCTTTTTGCTTATGTGAATTCTATTCCATAATAAGATTAGCCCATCCCTCTTCAGGGAACAAGTCCCTGTGAGATTCATTCTTCTCACAGGTTAAATATGTTGTATCCAACCCTTTTCCCTTAAAAAGTCACCTGACTTAGGTTAGTATGTAAGCCTAAAATATCATAGTAACAAAAAAGAAAGGTATACCTTGGTTTTAGAATAAGAAAGATGAGTCCTTGTACCCTTTCACACTCATAACTATGAATGTCAAGCAATGTCATCTGGATCTTGTTTTGACTTCTGCTCAGTTCTGATGCCCAAATTGTGCCATGAAAAGATATCATGGGCCATTTTTTCCCATTGGAGCATGGCATGTGTTGAGATCAGAGGGGTCTGTGGCTTTCTGTTGCTAGTATTTAGGACTCTAAAAAGCAAACTTGTTCCTAATTTTACCTTTAATACCAGCACTTGGGAGGCAGAGGTAGGTGAATCTCTGTGAGTTCAAGACCAGCCTGGTCTACAGAGCTAATTCCAGGGCAGCCTCCAATGCAGTACAGAGTATCCCTGTCTGGAAAAACAAAAACAAATAAACAACAATAACAACAACAACAAAACCAAAAAAACAAAGAAAAAAAAAAACCAAAACACTTTTTAGTGGTCTTTTATGGAATGGCATTTTGACCTGGTTAGAATAGTAGCTTTCTGGGAGAGAGAAGATGGGGAGTTAAAACTATGTTTGAAGGTTTCTTGCATTGTTCAACCTTTCTTTATCAGAGCAGTGGGGAGTATATTGAACAGGATTAGAGAGCTGCTTGCTAGCCAGAGTATTTGATTTGCTTCTCTCTGGGAGAATTTGTTTACTTTTTCTGGTGGGTCATGGTCTCAGTATCTCTCCCTATTGCTACAAGCTCCCTTGCTTCCTCTTCCTCCTACCCTTTCTCTTCCTCTTTCTTGGTGATTTCACATCTTGGCCTCCTCATCGCAAAATCTGATTTTATGAAGATTTCTTGCATTCCAAGTTTCAACTTCCAGAATGACCTGCCTGACCACTAAAGGAATACTCTGTTGTCCTCCATAGCATTTCTTACCCTTGATCTGTGCACACACTTGCTTGGTCACAGTTCCCTTACTTTTTTGGGCCCTTTGCTGCAATGTGGAGAATCTTTCCATCTGAGATCATCACTGATCCAAAAAAGTATTTCATCAGGAACCCTGAGAGCCAGTGCAATGGAGGGAGAGACATGGCTCTCCTAAGGGAGGGGATCTGAACATTTTCTAGTTGGGTTTGAAACCCCAGACAAGCCCCTGAATTCTTAGCCGTAATCAACAAATAATTTTTGTGTCCCCCAAAGGAACATAAAAAGAAAATGTATTCTACCAAAAATAATTTTTTTTATTAAAAAAAAAAAAGGGTTACCCAGGAACTCAAACTGGGCTAGCAACACAGACTGCCTTGTGTCTTTTATCCCTGATGTAGGTGGCGACTGTATCTCCTCCCATTGGTGGGTGATTGACTTTACAATCTGACACAATTATTTCATCTCCCAAAGACAAATGACAAGGTTCAAGAAATAAGAATCCTTGCTGAGTTAACTACTTTAGATTAAAACAAAACAAGGCAAACTATAGCTGTCATGTAATTGCCATCATAGATCTACTTCTATGAAGTCAGCTTTTTAGATACATATATTCAGTTAACCTTTATGTGCTTAGCACACTTCAGTTAACCCGATGTCCTCTGAGTTCATTTTCATTATAAAAAATAAAGGATGTTCTCTCTTTCTCTTTATGGTTTGGTAGTATTACCACTGTGTATATACAGCCCTTTTTTGGTATAAGAAAAAAAAATTTGAGCTTAAAGACAATTTTATTGGAGTTTTAAAAGCTATTGACTGTTGCCTGGACTAAGGAGACAGAGAAGAGGAATATAGAAAGCCATGCATTTGAGTTAGGCTGGCATGAAGAACTTTAAACATTTTTTAAATTGTCATTATTGTTGTACATGTCTGTATGATGAGGAGAGTTATTTGTGACATACCATATGCCTGTATGGAAGTCAGAGGACAACTTTGTGGATTCAGTTCTTTCTTTCTACCTTATGTGAATTATAAGGAAGTGAATTCAAGTCATCTTAGCTTTACTGGTTGAGTCATTTCCCCGGCATGAAGATAGCATATTTCCTTTATCCATTCCTCTAGTGATGGATATTTAGGTTGATTCTTTGTCTTGACTGTTGTTTAGCCATGTGTCATTATGTGATACCATAGTAAAGCTGGGCAAATAGATGTTTCTTCAATCTGCCAATTTCATTTCATTTAAATACACGAGAGTAGAACTGCTGAGTCATATAGTAGTTCAGTATTTAATATTATGCAGACCCTCCATCTGTTAGCCATATGTATGAGACAGTGTCCCTGTCTTCATCCTCATGAGTGTTCACTTCTTGTCTTTTCTATAGTAATCTAAAAGGAGTGAGATACCTCTTTGTGGTTTTTAATTATATTTCCCCAATGATTAATGATGTTGAGGATTTTGTTTTCAAAATTGTGTATCATTTTTATGTTTTCTTTTATCTATGCATCTCTTTTGCCCTTTTAATGAACTAGGTAACTGTTCAGTTCTTATATATTTTTGGATTTTAGCCATTGTCAGATTATAGTTTGATTATTTGCTATAATGCAGAGATTGTTATTGTCTGAGGTAATCCTGTCTGTCTGATTTTGCTTCTGTTGCCAGTTTTTGCAGTTTTATTAAAAAGAAAAAAAAAAAAAAAAAAAACCCTTTCTCCAACCTAATATTACAAAGTCGCCTTCAGTAGTTTCTTAGCCACCCCCTCCCCCCGCCAAGTAGTTTCTTAGATTTGTTTTGTTCTTTTTTTCCTCTTCCCTCATCTTTTTTTGTGACAACATCTTATAGTGTAGTTTAAGATGGCCTTGAATTCATGGAGATCCACCTGCCTCAGCTTTGTGAGTACTGTTTAGGTAGGAGTTACCACATCTGGTTTAGCGTTAGTTCTTTAGTTCATTTTGAGTTGACATATTCTAAGAGATTAAGAGTTTGCTTTTATTCTTCTTCATATCAACATCTGGGCAAATCTTGATACTCATTTTTATATTTTAATACAAGGCAATACTGTGTTCTGAATCCACTGGCTTTTTTTTTTTTTAAGAGATTGAGAATGGTCCTAAGGAATCCATGGTTTCATTCTTCTTGGCTCTTACTTTTATCTTTTCTATTCCTGTACTACCTTTTGGATCCTAAAGACTGATTATATGGATGGGAATTTACATTTTAAAACCCTAGAGCATATTACTTAACTAAACTGTTCATATTCAAACCAGTCTCTCACACACACACACTTGTTTTAAGAAGAGAGAGTTTCACTTTCTTGAATGTTAAAAGTCTTCATTTTTAAGAAGTTTTTCAGAAATTCTCTGTATAATTGAATCTGTCTTGCAGGTGTGACTTCCTTAGCGCTGTGGAACTGACTCTAAGTAGACACTCCATTAGAGTCACCTTTCAGCTCAGTTTAAGCAGTAGTTATTAAAAAACAGCCTTATAGTTTTGAATAGTTAACCTCTTACTGCTTATGGCTTCTAACACCAGTGGTTTCCTTCTCTTTGTTGTGGAGAGCAAATCTATCATGTCTATCTTGCTTCACTAACTTGATTCTGTGCTCTTAACAATAGACTTCAGCTTCCTTCTTCCCTTGTTCAGTTCTTTACTCTATGGAGGTATCTTTCTGCCCTGAATTTGCTTCTGAAGAGAAGGATGCTCCTTGACGAGTAGGCACGTTCTGAGTTCTGATGGCCCTCCTTCACCGAGTCTCCATCGTTTTCCAGGACAGTCTCCGTAAGAAGGATGACAGGATTGAAGAGCTGGAAGAAGCACTGAGAGAGAGTGTACAGATAACTGCAGAGCGTGAAATGGTGCTGGCACAAGAGGAGTCAGCCAGGACCAGTGCTGAGAAACAGGTCTGCGATTTCATGTAGCTACTAGCAATGCTGCTGGGTAAACACAGGTAAAACCAGTGTAGTTTAAGGTGAGCTGAACATGCTGACTCTACAGGGGCTTTCAAAACTACTCCATCAGTACTAGTTCTTAGCCTTATGAAGTGACTAAAATATAACTGCAGGGGGTGGCTCATGTTAATGTTGAGATCTCTAAAGTAATAACTTAGGAATGATTCATAGACATTTATGCAGCAAAAGATAATAAAACATGTGACTGACATAGCATGCAACATGTCTGTTTGCTACATGACTGTGAAAAAGCCCAGCTTTGGAGGTGAGGTGAGTGAGAAAACACAAATATGTCTCAGTAAGAAAATAGTTTTCTATTTAAGGTTACAAAGATATAGCAGCACTCCTCTGCCAGATTGCCCTGTCTCAGCCTGTGGTAACTTGAAAGGCTCTTCATGGCATTTGTTTTATATGCATCTGCCTCTCTGTTAGGTCTCTGTATGCTTGCTGTTGACTCATTAGAAAGAATAAGTAAATATGGGAGCTGTGAATGGAGGAGCAGCTTTAGTATATAAATACTGTAATCTTGGTTCCCATTTTGAAAATGTGGCTTTAGATTTTATATCTACCTAGCACAGATACCATAACATTTAATTTTTGTAGCACCCAGCCCCTTGTGTATGTGAGAATAACAAATATTATCTAGGTACCTTAGTTGGGTTTCTATTACTGTGATAAAACTCCATAATCAATGGCAACTTGGGTAAGAAACAGTCTACCAATGAGGGAAGTCAGGCCAGGAACCCAAACGGCAAAAGGACCTGGGGGCAGGACCTGATGCAGTTTATGGAGGGTGCTGCTTACTGGCTTGCTTCCCCCTGGCTTGTTCAGCCTGCTTTCTTATAGAACCCTGGGACCACCTGCTTAGGGGTGGTACCAACTAGTAGGCTGGGCTGTTCCACATCAATCAGTAATTTAAAAAATGCACTAGAGGCTTGCCTACAAGCAAATCAGGTATTGTTCTACTGAGGGTCCCACTTCTCAAATGACTCCAGCTCCTGGCTGTTGACATAAAATTAGCCAGGACATCAGGTAAACAGATTCAATGACATAGTAGTAGGAATCTGATGGGTTAACCTACCCCCTCCACTGAGAAGCTGCTGTTACTGGGAATTAAGAAGATCAGATGGTAAACAAATAACCACGTCAAGGCAGATATACTGTAGTAAGTACCTTATAAAGTCCCTTTGTAGCTGTAGTAGCTTCAGTAATACTCTTTAGTACTTTAGTGTTCCTGGATGTCTAACAGTGTTTATGAGATTGGCAATATAAGCATTTGGAGCATTTATGTTTATAATTCTTCTGTCTTCCTGATTGACCACTTTATATATAAATAATGACATCCTTTATCTCTTTATTAATGACTAAATGATTAAAGAGATGACTTGATGGCATCCCTTCTTAGGAGCACCTGCTACATTAGGGTGACTGTCTAGTGAGCTTCAGCAGTCAAACTATCTGACTCCCTAGCCAGGGTTACAAGCATGTGCTGCCCACTTCTCCCAGCTTTGTTTTTAGCCTGGGGTCTTGGGGTAGAGAGCAGATCCTCTTGCTCACATTGCAGCACTTAACTGGCTGAGCATTCCTTCCAGCCCCTGCCCTCCTCTCTCTGACTTTAGTACCTTCCACCCACAACTTCTTTCCAACTAACTTGAAATGCACATAACTAAGGACATATTCCACCTCCATGGACTAAAACTTTATCTACTCCATGAATATGTGACCCATTACTTGAAATGTGGTTTAAAAATGTACGGCTTACTTTTCAAGCATGATACATTTATTGCTTGTTATCTGCCAGTTCCTGAGATAAGTGCTTTGTTCATACGGCTGTTTAATCACCTAAACAACACATCTGGGTGGAAAATGAGCTTCTGTGCTCACTGGTCCTCTCACAGAATGGTTCCATTTCTTAGAGTTTGAGATCTTTCTGCTTGAAGCAGTGTTCCTGTTTTTACCATTAGTCCTACTTCTGTAGGATGTCTGTGATCTTTCAGATCTGACTTCTGTATCTTTGTAGGATTTTGAAAAGTTCCCTTCATTTATCTGTTTTATAACCTGTTACTATTAACTATTTCTATAATATGTAATAGGTATATTACTTGAAAATGCATCCACTAGTTTCTTTAGAAGAATATGAGCTCCCTGGGTGCTGGAGGTGTGTCTGTGTACTATTGTGGCTTTGACAGTTACAACCTACATCTAAGGACTTAATTCTGTTTAATTAGTGAGTGAACAAATGGAATTTTATTCCTACCTCTGTGCCTGCACACTCAAGGAATGTAGTCCTCTACAAACTGGGGATCCTGGGAGGTTGGCAGTAATTTAATGATTTCTTTTGCAATAATTATCAAAGTAGTGTTTTAAAATATTTTATTCTTTGTTTTAGCTGGTTTTCTGATGCATTTACTAAAAACTTTGTCATCAAAACAGATTAAAAAGTAATTCCAATTAAATGTTTAAATACTTAGAATAGCTATTTTCAAGTAATGTTTATTTTTTTTAGTTCTTGGTTTTAAAAGATTATAGCTGTAAAGCACAAATAGAAATCCTTATTATTTTTACCTTGCCTTTAAGGATGGGGAAATACATGTCTTAGGAGATGAATGTACAAAATTCTAGCCACCTGTTACTTGCTATTTTAGCTAATGGAAGCTAGCATGAACATTTCAGGTAACACCTGATCCTCAACTGAAAAAGTAAGTGGTTTGTACAAATATAAAAATGCATAAATTCAGAAATATTCAGAGCATTATAATGTCATCCAATATAGTGTGTCATTAATATCATTAATGTGAGAATCTTTCCTAATTTGATTTTATTTCCTTTTGGATTGTGCTGCTGTCCTTTGTTGGCCACGTTGACATTAGGGTTTTCAATATTTATCTTTTCCTGACTTAGAAATAGGTTTATAATATTTGTAAAAATGAGTTTTTTGTATTGCACATAATAGGCAACATTTAAGTTTTAAGAAATTCTTTACATTTATTTATTTGTGTATGTGTAGGAGCATTATGGTAGTGTACATGTGACAGTCATAGGGCAACTTGTGGATGTTAGTTTCATCCCTCCACCATGTGGGCGTTGGTATTTCAATTCAGGTCATCATACTTGGCAGCAGGTATTTTTACTATCTAAACTATCCCACCAGCTCTATTCAATTATTTATAGATATTTATATTTCAACCTCTTCCCTTACCCTTCAGAGTCTTAAACTGAGTTTCATGTCTCTAGTGACGGATTATTGAACTGAATAACTGAGTGGTCTAAAAGCATCACAAAAACAACCATGTTTTCTGGAACTATGTGGATCATTCTATCTTATAGTAAAATCTAGTTGTTTTGATGACTGGTTAGAAAGATCTGGTACGTATTAGACCCTGAAATGAGTCTGATGGAAATGTATCATAATCTCTTTTAATGCCTCAAATGCTAGCCTTTTAATGCTGGCCTCAAAACAAATACCACAAGAGCCATTCTTCACTTGACAAGGGACTTCGGAGGCCTACAGGGTTGCTATTTCAAAGAAAATTATGCAGACTCTGGCCTATTGGAAGTAGTTGTTAACTAGGTCTGCACTACCATAGCAGAAATCTTTTTTTTTTTTTCCAATTTAAGTTAGAAACAAACTTGTTTTACATGTCAATCCCAGTTCTTCTTCCTCCCATCCTCTTCTGGCCCCTCCCATCCCTTTCTGCTCCCCAGGGAGGGTGTAGCCTTCCATGGGGGTGTCTTCAAAGTCTGTCATATCATTTGGGGGAGGGCCTAGGTCTAAGTATCCTTCTCTGTGGAAAGTGCTTCCTAAGTCCATTCCTAGACTAGGGATAAATAAAATAAAATAAATACATTACCAGAGCCCCCATAGATTGCTCAGGCCTCCTAACTGACAGTCGTGTTCAGGGGGTCTGGGTCAGTCCTGTGCTGGTTTCTCGGCTGTCAGACTGGAGTCCAGGAGCTCCCCCTTGCTCAGGTCAACCATTTCTGTGAGTTTCTCCAGCATCGTCTTGATCCCTTTGCCCATCATTCCTCTCTTTCCACAGCAGAAATCTTTATGTTTAGACCTCTCTTTTTGATCTGAGGAAGATTGTAGGAAATGGACATTAAGCTTGAAAAGTGATAATTTTTTTTTGTAATAATGACAACCAAATAGCCTGCATTCCAATGCATTTATTAGTGGAAATTTCTAAAATATTTTCAATTAATAATATATAAACTCAGATACTTAGAGATCAGATGTCAGAAGAATTTGAATCATTTATATTATTGTAGACTTTCAAAAATACAAAATAAGTAAATCGGTGGATGAATTGAAACATTGTCTTTTGGGTATGTATGTGTAGGTGTGCATGTTTGCGTGCATGTGTGTGTGTTCATGCACATGTATTCACACACATGTATATGAAGGTCAGAAGAGCACCTCACGTATGCTTCCTCAGGTAGTTTTCACTTTTGTGTTTTTGTGTATTTTTGCATATTTGTTGAGACCAGAGATTAACATTAGGCAACCTCTTCAGTTACTCTTTACCTCAAACCTCTTCAGTTACTCTTTACCTCATTTAAAAAATATATTTATATTTATGTATGTGGGTGTTTGGCCTAGGTGTATGTGTGTCTGTGTCCCATGTACCAGCAGAGGCCAGAAGAATGTTGGTACAGACCTTGCAGATGGTTGTGAGTTGCTGTGTGGGTGCTGGGAACTAAACCCAGTCCTCTGAAAGAGCAACAAGAACGCTTTAACTTCTGAGCCCTCTCTCCAGGCTAGGCATTCCATTTCACATGTTTGAGGCCAAGTCTCTTGCCTGAAACTCACCCATTTAGTTAGACTGTCTGGCCAGCAAGCCCCAGGAACCCTTCTGCCCCAGCATGGGCATTACAGACATTACAGGTGCTGCAGATGAAACTCAGGTTCTCAATAATGACTGAACTGTACTTCTAGCTGCATTGGAGACTAG